GTAAAAAACATAACAGCATTACTATTATTATTATAATCAAACAGATTACAACTAGAAGACTAAATAAGATTTTGTGCACACACAAACATAAAACCAATCAAACTACCAGAAAAAGTAATACTATAAAATGGCATTTACTGGAACAACAACAGAATTTCTATCTCTAAAAAAAATAGACTTTACCAAAGTCATGGACGGAATGAAATTTAATGGACAAAATTGGCCAAAATTCTATGAAATATTTATAAGAAATATCCAAAGCCACGTACCAAAAAAATTACTTACAACCAGATTCTTTACTGGAAGTAAATACTCAGGATACCAAAGAATAGACAATATGGCAACAATAGTAGCTAACCCAACAGCAGACGACCTATATAGAGGACAATTCAACATTTTATATATGAAACAACTATGGCGAAAATTAGTATTACAAACATTCAATAAAATACATCAAGATGCATACTTTGAAATAGAAGAACACTTTACATGCATATTCCCAAGTGACTGGCATAATGGACACAGAACACTACCTGATATGTGTACTGAATCACATACATGAGGAGGCAATCCAAATTCACTCAAAATAACAAAATACTTTCCAACAACACTCCATGTTAAATTCAGAGTATTTAACGCAACCCCTGCAAATGTAATAAAACCAAGACAAGGAAATTTATTAACTAACTAGCCTGCCAGCACTGACTCAGGAGCAGCACTATCTAAACAAGTATCCATAATACTATGGATACATGAAAAATATATTACACACAAACATCAAGAAACTGCACAAGAAATATTTGCAAAATTCTTATTCGACTTTAAATATATAAATGAAGAAGAATTCTTAGACCTAAAACAAGAATATTACGACTCTGAGAAGAAGCAAATGATGGAACAACATGGCCCCAAGGAGGCGTATTCCAAACCTACAAAAGATTACCTAGTGGAAGACACTCTGCAGAAAATTACAGAGCTGCAATAAAACTATTAGGAAGACCAACATCTTACGAAGACTTCTTTAACAAATTAGAACAAGTATATGATTCATATAAAGAAGGACAAGTAGGACAAGCATTCAGAAAACAATTTGGAGACAAGAAAAAAGAAAACTTCTCAAATGAAAA